TACAAGGCCAGAAGTTTAATTGAGAATACAGGTTTCCCATCTAGACGCGCTCTTTTCTGTTGATTGAGCCAAATGCGTAGTTATTTGGTACACTTGCTATTTATTTTATCTGCCGAAATGCTCCTTATGCCATCGATATAGACAAATGCATTTATGATACAGAGAAGTTATGGGTTAATCGAGAGGAATAAGAGAGTTCCCGGAACTCCGTCAGTTTGCAGTGCAGCGAACACAGGGTCGGGGTGATGGCTTCACAGGCGCCACTTTTAAGGTACTTTCATCGTTATGTCCTTGTTTATATCTCTGTGACGTCTCATGTGTCTTCTGCTCTATTTTTCTTACACTTCTTTCTCTCCTTCTACTGAAATATTCTGTCGTCTCCCTCGGTTTCTGCTCCTTTTCGTAAGAAATTGTGTCATTTATCCGAGAACACGAATGTGTCATGACGCCTTAGTGCGATAGTTGAAACCGCTGGCTGCTACAAGTCATATTTCTTCGTAGAAGATGATCAGAAATTACAGCGTCATCTGCTATTGCCACTTCGTTCTCGTCGAGTTACGATGGTACTACGCATTTCTTTCTATGCGAGTCTCCAGGTTTTACGACTAAATTTGAATCGTATAGATTTTTAGGACAAGTGTAAAGGAAAAATGTTTGGGAAAGATCTCAACTGTAGTTGAACTGTTGACGTAGTAACAGAAACCGAAGTCGTATACTTGTTATGACAACTCGTTTGAGGACATTTCACGAGTTTAAGTCTCCTGTATTGATGTGTAATAAGTTATGGATTGTTGGAAGCGCATTATAGAGATTACATTGCTGAAATTCCTTTGTTTCTCTTCTGTAACTGTTTTAAGACACAGTCATAACTTATACGAGGTGCGATCGGAAGGTTTCCAGACTGCGCGTATAAAAACCCGTACACTTATCTCAGGTATTAAATTCATCTATCACCCTCGAAGTAGTTCCCCTGGGAGTGAACACAACGATGTTTTTATACGCGCAGTCTTGAAACTTTCCGATAGCACCTCGTATGTGTCGTCTGCTTTAACAGTCAGCAGCATGCATTTTGCCTACACAATTCATTTTTGTGTGTCTTGGGATTTTCGGGAATGGAGCAGATTGGGTGCAGCTGCCTCAGGATATGGTCCGTTAGCGAGATTTTGTGAACACGGTGATGAACCTTTGGGGTCCATAAAGGAAGTGGACTATTCTTTGACAAGCCGAGTATACAATCGACTTTTCAAAGAATTTGCTGCACAATGGAGCGAATGAGTGTGTGATTCTCGGGTTGTAAACAGGGATTTCTTCTCGACACCTTTCACCACTTTATCTTTTGAGGTGGAAACTGAAAAGAGCACATGGAAGAAGGCAATATTAGAATGAATCTTTCGGAAATTGTTTGGAGGTCTCTGCCATCGTCGTATTCACCGCCGTGAGAACCTCAGATCGTTCTAAGGCTGGGCTGTTCAACACGTAATTGGGAAGAGTGATTGCGTGGAATCTGAATAACCGAGAGAAAGTATCGAAGTTTGAAAACAATGTAGTCTAGTAGACACGTGAAGAGAATAGACGGGAGACAACCTGGCGGGCGTTATGGGTGTAAACTCGGTTCTGCTCATGAGCCTTCTATTCTTACATTAAAACCTGTGCCGAATGTCGACATGTTCCCACAGTCTAATCTGCAATCTCCAGGCACGACCTTTTCTTAACCTGCTAGTACCGTAAATCCACCCAATAATATCGCTATAGCGCTCAAGATACAGACCTGTATATTCCCTGACTCGACAGCTATCCTTTTATATTCAGTACCAGTAATTAATATGAAAATAATATATGATGGTTTATCGGTCATGTACCGCTTTCGGTATCCGCGGTTTTATTTTAGTATCATGAGGGACATTGATATCCCATCCTCGGCCACAGTAAAAGCAGTCGCGCAGGCCCACTGAATTGTGCGCAGGTTAATTAACTCACCTCATCATTTGGCTCGTGAGGATTACAGATTAAGGTCTTTCGTGGCGCATCACGCGGAAAATCCAAGGGCGTTTTATATGTTTCCCACTTATGGTTTTTGGAGCAGCGGTCACCTGCAAGTTATTTCACCTGGACACACCCGTCTCTCTCTCACTCATCTGTTAGGATAGGTTCAAACTGGCGTGGAAATGCGCGCATATTAGCCATCAAATAAACCAGCAATGAAATATCGCTTTCCACGAGATCCTGAGTTAGCTCTGCCCAGTCATCATTTACACAACTGAATTACGAATTACTGACCAGCATGTTGGGTTTCTCGCATGCGGGACCATATACAGCAACAACGAGACAATTAGTTTCGTGCTAATCAACAGAATTCCCAAGCGAAATTATTGTGTTGCCTGTTTACAATGATCTGAGTTACCATTTGAAATGAAGAAATGAATGTTGACGTTGTATGGAATTGTGCGAATGGTTTTTACAACAAAGTAGACAGATCCCAAAACATCTCGTTGAAATAAGTCTATTTCATATATTTCACATACCAAGTCGCAGCGTAAGAAAATTTGTTTTGGAAACGCCACATTAGAAAGGTTTCAGACCGTCCTGTGGCTTTTTATTCATGCATGATTTATGATTGCATAACCTAACCTAACCTAACACCTAGTGGAATTGGTATGTACTACGTGTTTTAACAATCAGTAATTTTTCGTTTTGCGCACAATGTTTATTTAGAAGAGTAAACAGCGATTATTTCCTTAAACGGCATAAACCGGTTGATCTTTGCATAATAACCTGAAATTAGCAAATCCAATTGCAAACTTCTGGTCTTGTTGCTGTACCGCGCTTGAGAATCATTTTAAAGCGGCGGTGTACGGAAAACAGCCGAATAAAGCCGAAGTTTTACGAACGCTAGGAACAGGGAAGAAGAAGATGGTCGTGGGAAAGAGACAGGCGTAAGTTTGTTCGGAGTGCATATTTTATTGAAGTTAAAACTAAGATGGTTCCAAAGTGCCCAGTGACGTGTGTTGTGATTTATTATAATCAGTGAACATCGAAAACCTACACAGGTACAAACTGCTCTAATTCTAATAAGAAGTCGTTCCTGTTTGTTCCATTACTTGTGTGAGTCGTTGCTTGTGCAGTTCAGCCATGAAGTCGTCTGGATGACGTCACAGTTGAAGGTAATTACAATTTGTATGGAGGAAAAGGGACGGAATATTGTTTCACTATCAGTATGTTCTTGTACTTGTTGAGATGAAATGCCACTTTGGTGTACCCAAAATTAACTGTTACGCAAGTGAGTATTTTGTTGCTTTAGTGTGTATTAACACTTTTGCTTGACGTCAACATTCTCTAGAAATGTGACACGTCATTTGGTGATAATCATCTTTGAGATATGACATGGGTCGTATATTATTGAAACCAGATGCCAGGACTGTATAATATTGTGTAGTCTACCTAGAGGGTTCCGTGTGCTCCTTCAACAGGGTTAAAGTGGTCGGAGCGTGAGGTTCTCTACATACTTTCTAGGTTATGTGAATGAGCGAAGATATTTCTTCACTTCCGGCACAAATTATTGGTTATAATGACGAGCTTTTTATTTTAAAATGTAATTTCTGTTCCGAACCATGTAATGTTTCACGTGTTCCTCTAACTATCTCTGTATTTGTATGTAAATCATACTAGAACAGTTCCTGTCTAAATAAAAATTTCCGGTTTTCCTGTTAATACCAAATTTAATTTAAATCCAGTTTGTAGCATGCGGCTATTATGTGCGCTTTGTGCATAGAGGCGTGGTTTCCTATGCACAAACTAACACAATCAGTTTTGATGTGTAAACTACTGTTTTCTCTTAGGAAATCGTGTGGGAGGGTGTGGATTGGATTCATGTGGCTGCAGGTGGCTCGCTCGCTCTTGTGGGCACTGTAGTTAACCTTCGACCTCCATAAATGACAGAGAATTTCTTCTTGACTGAATGAACGACCATCAGCTTCTCAAGAAGAACGTTGTTGTTATGGAATTAGTTAATAGTACTTGCTGTTTGTTTTGAATGGCAAAACGTCTCTTTGTGTGTCTTTCTCTGTTAGAAACAAGTATTTTTAGCATCACATTGTTTTAACACATTTTAAATATTCGTTGTTTTCTTCTGATAAGGAATATCCGTTTATGGTCCCATGCAAAACAACGGACAGACCTCTAGTTTAATACGCGTAGGCCTTCAGTTCTGAAAAAAAGACGATATGTTTTTTTTCAATTAAAGGGCAACGTGGAATATTTTGCCTGCGAAATGTTTTTAAATGTATGTGATGGTTAGATGGGACTTCAAAGGGGATTTAAGCATATATTTACTCTCTTTGTTCAGTTATGATCTACATAATCATCCCCACATCGTCTCTAAACTGATTTATAGTTACATCCCAGACCCATATCCAGGCAGCTAATGGCTCGTTATCATAGCCATCACGTTTCAGGTTTTGGTGTCCCTTGGTTGGCCACTGACCGACCATTTGTGTCACATTTGTTAAAATACGAGCTGAATATCTGACACAGCCCACAGCACTGCCGTTCCATGTCCCCCCACATTGCAGCCGGCTGTTCTGTTAAGTAAGTTTACTGCCCACATTGTCCTATGACGATTATGGTAGTACCTTGTCATCACGGTAGATGGGGGACATAGAGAGCGACTGTCTCTAATAATTCTGTGGGAGATTAGTATTAGGTATATACCATATGGAAGTAAGTTGTGACGATATTAAATGGATTGAACTGTGTCATGGCTGTGCTCAGTGGCTTTATTTTAAATATCACCCATATTCAAACTGCGTAAAATTTTTGTTAGAGTAAATCGTTGAAACTTAACGTAAAACTATATTTTATTTTTCCCAAGTCTGGTTTATTTAAAGACTCTTCTATTGCTCAGGTTACATAGAGCGTTGGATGATTGTGTGATTATTGAAATGGAAAGGATATAGGAGAAAGCGGCTGTGAAATGAAAAGAGTGGTAACTATGTGTACCGTCTTGTTTAAATAAATAACTTTTCAATTTGTACACATGTTGTTCGTATGATTCTCACTGTAAACAGAGATTATTTCCTGGAACAGCGTTAACCAGCTGATCTTTGTAATGATGAAGTGCTGTGTTTTCTTGTCGGTACAGACGGAATTCGTAAATATCATTTGGGCGAGTTTTAGCTTCAAAGGGTTGGATCAACCAGAAACTGTAAAGGCGCATGGCTTGTGGGCCTATAAAATGAAGAAAGATGTGATAGGCTGAAGTTATCCTTAGATGAGGATCCATACAACAGCGATGATGCTCTGAATTTCTGGTTGAAAATTATCTAGATAGTTTCTTTAGACCGCCATATAGTAGCTAACTGCAGGAATTAGCCATAAAAAGTCGTGACGTACTGTAATGACTGTAAGAAATGTACCCCCTGCTTTTTCTTTTGCTTTTTGGTAAGAGGAGGTTAAGGGCCACAGAAATCGTTATTCTCGCAGAGAAGACGAGTCAGAAACCTTGGGGCGGGGTTAGAATGGAACCCTAGAACGAACAGGGAGCAGTGGAAAAGTCTTAAGTGAACGAAAAGAAATGAGAGTTCAGGGGGAAAGCAGTGGGAAGACAAAAGAGAGAGATGCAGTGCGGGGATAATGTTAGAAGGAGAAGACAGAGAATATGAAAGGTTGAAAGATGAAATACAGTTAAAAGATGTCTCAAGTTACGAAAGGAATAAAGTTATGGTTCAACTGACGATGTTTATTACGAATTACTACCTCGTCCTTATGTAGAACAAAAAGGGCATATGTAGTTTTGTTTTGTGTAGTTTTACGGAATGTTAACTCGTGGTTTAGATGTACGGTGCAGAATGGCTGTTAACATTGAAAGATCAACTTCGGCTCTAGGCTACTTTTTCATTCTTAAATTTTGTTTCTGTATTTGAGTCAATTTACCTAAACCGGGGAAACGAAAGTTGTAAGAATGTTTCCGAGATAGGTTTAACAGCGAGCTTCGTGGCGATTTACGAGGTTACAGATCCAATTCATTTTGTGAGGCAGGTTCCTTGAGAGGCAGACAAACTGCAGGTGGCTCGCTCGCTCTTGTGGGCACTGTAGTTAACCTTCGACCTCCATAAATGACAGAGAATTTCTTCTTGACTGAATGAACGACCATCAGCTTCTCAAGAAGAACGTTGTTGTTATGGAATTAGTTAATAGTACTTGCTGTTTGTTTTGAATGGCAAAACGTCTCTTTGTGTGTCTTTCTCTGTTAGAAACAAGTATTTTTAGCATCACATTGTTTTAACACATTTTAAATATTCGTTGTTTTCTTCTGATAAGGAATATCCGTTTATGGTCCCATGCAAAACAACGGACAGACCTCTAGTTTAATACGCGTAGGCCTTCAGTTCTGAAAAAAAGACGATATGTTTTTTTTCAATTAAAGGGCAACGTGGAATATTTTGCCTGCGAAATGTTTTTAAATGTATGTGATGGTTAGATGGGACTTCAAAGGGGATTTAAGCATATATTTACTCTCTTTGTTCAGTTATGATCTACATAATCATCCCCACATCGTCTCTAAACTGATTTATAGTTACATCCCAGACCCATATCCAGGCAGCTAATGGCTCGTTATCATAGCCATCACGTTTCAGGTTTTGGTGTCCCTTGGTTGGCCACTGACCGACCATTTGTGTCACATTTGTTAAAATACGAGCTGAATATCTGACACAGCCCACAGCACTGCCGTTCCATGTCCCCCCACATTGCAGCCGGCTGTTCTGTTAAGTAAGTTTACTGCCCACATTGTCCTATGACGATTATGGTAGTACCTTGTCATCACGGTAGATGGGGGACATAGAGAGCGACTGTCTCTAATAATTCTGTGGGAGATTAGTATTAGGTATATACCATATGGAAGTAAGTTGTGACGATATTAAATGGATTGAACTGTGTCATGGCTGTGCTCAGTGGCTTTATTTTAAATATCACCCATATTCAAACTGCGTAAAATTTTTGTTAGAGTAAATCGTTGAAACTTAACGTAAAACTATATTTTATTTTTCCCAAGTCTGGTTTATTTAAAGACTCTTCTATTGCTCAGGTTACATAGAGCGTTGGATGATTGTGTGATTATTGAAATGGAAAGGATATAGGAGAAAGCGGCTGTGAAATGAAAAGAGTGGTAACTATGTGTACCGTCTTGTTTAAATAAATAACTTTTCAATTTGTACACATGTTGTTCGTATGATTCTCACTGTAAACAGAGATTATTTCCTGGAACAGCGTTAACCAGCTGATCTTTGTAATGATGAAGTGCTGTGTTTTCTTGTCGGTACAGACGGAATTCGTAAATATCATTTGGGCGAGTTTTAGCTTCAAAGGGTTGGATCAACCAGAAACTGTAAAGGCGCATGGCTTGTGGGCCTATAAAATGAAGAAAGATGTGATAGGCTGAAGTTATCCTTAGATGAGGATCCATACAACAGCGATGATGCTCTGAATTTCTGGTTGAAAATTATCTAGATAGTTTCTTTAGACCGCCATATAGTAGCTAACTGCAGGAATTAGCCATAAAAAGTCGTGACGTACTGTAATGACTGTAAGAAATGTACCCCCTGCTTTTTCTTTTGCTTTTTGGTAAGAGGAGGTTAAGGGCCACAGAAATCGTTATTCTCGCAGAGAAGACGAGTCAGAAACCTTGGGGCGGGGTTAGAATGGAACCCTAGAACGAACAGGGAGCAGTGGAAAAGTCTTAAGTGAACGAAAAGAAATGAGAGTTCAGGGGGAAAGCAGTGGGAAGACAAAAGAGAGAGATGCAGTGCGGGGATAATGTTAGAAGGAGAAGACAGAGAATATGAAAGGTTGAAAGATGAAATACAGTTAAAAGATGTCTCAAGTTACGAAAGGAATAAAGTTATGGTTCAACTGACGATGTTTATTACGAATTACTACCTCGTCCTTATGTAGAACAAAAAGGGCATATGTAGTTTTGTTTTGTGTAGTTTTACGGAATGTTAACTCGTGGTTTAGATGTACGGTGCAGAATGGCTGTTAACATTGAAAGATCAACTTCGGCTCTAGGCTACTTTTTCATTCTTAAATTTTGTTTCTGTATTTGAGTCAATTTACCTAAACCGGGGAAACGAAAGTTGTAAGAATGTTTCCGAGATAGGTTTAACAG